CTAACTTTTGGTCTGCCCTTTAAAGTAAACTAAAAAGCACTTCCTGAAGCTTTTGAAAAGATCAGTATCAGAGAAACCAGTAAAAAGACTACAGAAGAAATTCACACCTGAACTTCTTAGTAATTGAAGCATGTGAGAGACCGCAGTAGTTGAAGCAGTCAACTCGGTGATGTAAAAGAGTTTTGTATTAACTAGAAAACTGATGAGGTTTGCATCCGCTTGTCAATTTTACCCTAATTCTTTTAAATAATGCTGAAATGTAACATTACCAGTTGTTGCAAATAAGTTTCTATAGCCTCAGTTATCTTCATCAGTGAAGTAAGACTAAGTCAAAACCATTACTGTTTTCTTGTTCTTGAACAATTATTCAACATCACTGCTTTCTATGTAAGAGTTAAGCCTAACTCTGCCCCAAAAGACTGTCAGATGTCTTGCTCACCAGAAGTCACAGATTGACTGAACAAAAGCCTAGATCCAAAGCGAAGAACAACAAAAAAAATCTTCCTAATTCTCATTCCATACATTAATTTGACAATGCTAATCAATTTAATGAGGTGTTAAACTGGACATTATGACTGCCTTAAACACTGGTTTTTAAATAATATACCGTCTCGGAGGAAACAATGCAAGAGGTAAATCTAAAACTGCTTTAGATTTTATTTCATTGACATGATTTTCCCACTGTTACTGGAATGATTTATTGATTTGTCTTTGACTGAAGAGAATCAAAGTCCTCTGCCTCACGTTCCACTTATAGTCGTGTTCTTAGTCTACTTTAAGTTATCTTTAAAACAGATCTGTAAATTGAAACTCAATGGAACAATAAGTTTCATACCTTACACTCATCATCACGGCACATATCAAACAAACTTTACTAGAGCATCACTTGGAAAAGCTTGGAAAACTCTCCACAGTGCTCTTCTGTTTCTAAGAAGCTTCTGCTGTTTCTGATTATCAGCAAGTTTGCTATTTTGGCATCACACTAAAGCCCCAGTGCCTCCATTTCTGACCCCTTCAACAAAAACAAGCTGCTCAACAATGTCTAATCCGTGCGTCATGTAATCCTGCTTAATACCCTACAAACTCTGGGTAATATTTGGGTAGTTTTTAAATTTAGCAAAGAACATCCTGGCCTAGTTCAAAGATACCCTTGCCTTGGGTAGTGTCCCCTAGAAACATCGCCCACACTAGTTTAAAGAAGAAAAGCAAACACACACATATGCATAACAGAAATGAACAAAAAATAAAGTAAGAGATCCTGGTCTAATGACATAATAAAAACATATCAAATTACAAATCAAATTATTGAAATGGGAATGCATTATGCAAGCACCAAACATGCCATTCAAACATGCCATTCAAACAATTAAAGAGACATTCTGTCATTCTAACACCGCTTATGGCCTCATTTGCCAGCGCAAGCACATCTAACTCCCTGCTTGCAGCGAGGGCAGACTATGCCGCAGAGGATAGTGGCAGAGCCAGCTAAATCACACCAGCCCAAGCCTTCCTCCTATCAACACTGAGCTATTAATATAAAGTCAGCTATCACTCTGCCAGAGAAGCAGAAAATCCCTTCTTTGAGACATTGCTTTTTGAAACATCATTATCTTAAAAGTGGCTCATACTAAAATAAAAACACTACCAAAGAGGTCTAATCTAAGTTCCATTATAATTTTTCAGCATACTGTCCTGACTGTCCTGCCTAAGATTTCTCAGCCTCTTGTCGAAGGGCAAATACGTTCCTATTTTGTTTAGGCTGTCAGGCAGACAGTCTCCAATCATTAGCCTCTTCTCAACAGTGATGCTGAGATAGATTACTACTGCATAGTGCTTGTAATGGCAGGTGCATGGCCCTGGGGCTGCCATCTGCCAGGAAGGAAGTGTTCTCCTCCAGGATGCTGAAGAGATTGACAAATAATGTAAACAAAACACTGAATCACTCCTAATCTATGCAATAAAGCTATTGCATTACTCTTCTGCAGTGTAGATGTTACCATCGGAGGTGGAGACTTAGGTTTGTGGCTTGGGTTGGTTTTTTCCTAGTTTTGTGATTGATTTACTGAGGTAAAAAACACACTCTAAAGTAACTTTTGTTTAATTGAGACAGGCAATTCTGGATTTGAAAAAAAACAACACCCTAGTATCAAAGATGTTTATTCTGGAAAGTATCTCCCCACTGTTAGCTCGTAACATATCTCTTTGTCCAGAGTGTATAGCCCTTTACTGAGAACAAGAACTGCGTTTTTTTGAATTACTATTTTTGATACACCTGTTCTGTTGTGCCTTTTGCAATTGGACACGTCTATCTCGTATTGGCCTTATTAGCCACCAGTGTGCTTGCAACAAATGTTAGATAAAGCCTTTCCCAAATCTTCGTTCGTGAAGCCTAGCCATGATGATGACGATGATGATAACGATGATGATTTTTGATACACCTACACACAATTTGGGGTCATTATCATTGATAAAAAATTCAGAACCTCTGTTTGAAAACTATTTGTTAAAGCAAAATTAGTAACAGAACTCCAAGTATTGTCTTTGGTCTTTTAAATCAATTTCTAAAGGCATTTTTTATCATCAGATTGAACAACTCTCCTGAACAGTCCTAGTTTAGTGGCTGATTTGTCACCTCAGCTACCAAGCACTAGTACAACTCCATAGAAATATTCAGGCACTTACCTATTCTTCAGGAAAGTTACTCATTACCATTTAACTGGCAATCCAGAGATTACAAACTACTGCTGTCTTTGAGTGATCCTCAAATGTTACTATATATGTTAGCACTTTAACACTCCATGAAATGTATTTTTAGGTGATCCTCTGTAAAAATCTCTGCATTGATTTCTCTGCGGCTTGGATGAAGCTTATAATACCTAAGTCTTAAAAGCTTGTTTTAACTATGAACACTTACAGCCCTGCAGCTGAGGAATTCATTCTGCCTATATTAGCGTGGAAGCTGCAAATACAATCTAAACCAGTAATCCTGGTTTCCTCCAAAGCTGACAGAGATGCAGGGGAAAAATCCATGCTGCTTTATAACTTGCATTTAAAAGACAGCAGGAGCAGTCACCTTTGCTGGCTCTGTTTACTGCTGCATGTTCTCCAGAGTGCCTGCCAGACTGACTAATCCAAGAAGTCAACATGCTGGATAGCTAAAGGCAGTTGACACAAACACAAGCGTAAAAAAAACAACAACAAACAACAACAAAACAGCACACACAAAAAAAAACCCACAAAAAAAGTTTTCCCTTGAAAAGTCTGCAGTAGGAAAGCCAGCCTTTTCAACAACCAGCAGCAAGGGGACTACTCAGCTGAACTTGGCTTTTCAAAGCTGCCACTCTTGACCCCCTACGTGCATACGCACAAAAACTTTAAAAATAACCATATGCCAGACAACAAACACACAAAGAAAACATATCTGAACTTTGGGGTCACTATACGGTCTTCTAAAAACTCAAGGAATACTACTGACTTCTATGCTTACACAGATCCCTTCAAGCAAACTTTTTACGAAACTAAAACAAAAACCGTTGTGAAACACTCATAATTACACATCCTAATTTATCAAATCAGTCAATATATTCACTTTAAATTGCTATTACACAGAGCAATTTACTGCACCAATCTAATGTTAAAACTTCCACAAAACTGCTGGACTATATCATGACTAACACAACTAACACAAAGAAAACAACATATGGACAAACAGTAGAAAAAGCATTCTATACTTCAACAAAATCAGAAGAAAAAAAGCCATAGGCTTATTACTTTAAAAAGAAATATATTAATACACATAGTATCTGTCCATTTTTAGATAAAAACTGATATAGACAGAAAATATCTGGATGTAACTATGTTGCCATTTAGCTACTGAATATGGAGGGAAGTTAGATTACATACACTAGCTAAATTTTTCAGTGGATGCTTGCTGTGTTTCAACTTATAAACCACTTCAGCATTCCAGTGTAGTTAACGCTGTTTAAAAATAACAGTAAATCAAGTCTGAAGAAACACGTTATTCTCTCCTTATTAATAAAACCCAAACATAAAGAACACCACCATATAAAACATGTCCTAATACTTTTTCTGTTCAAACACTCCTTTATTCTTATTACTTACAAACCAACACTAGTCTCTGTAGCTATCTTGAAAGAAATCAAGTAATCAGAAGCAATCATCAACCTAAAGCATTTCCTCTGCCTTAAGCAATGACTGTACTGGTTCAGTTTAGAACAAACCCACCATTCAACTTGGTCTATAACAGTTTATCTTAAATGACTCAAAGTAACCATGACATTCTTTCTATGAGCAGTATAGCTAAACATAATTTAAAGTATAAAGAGTAAAAGTCTAATAGATGTCACGCATTTTAATATTCTGTTTGTAAAAAGCTGACATCCCTATAATCAACATAATTTAAAATATCAAAGGCTTAATTTAATCTTAGATAATTTCAGTTTATATTTCATGTTTCACATGTGGCACTGCTAAGTTCAGACCTACGCATTCAGACCTGACCAAACGGTCAGCTGTAAAATGCTATCTGAAAGACAATAAGTGAATTTCGAGACGTTGGAAAAAACCCTCAAATTTTTAATTCTAACTGTAAGTTAAATAATCAAACTATCTAAGTTCTTAAAAGTAGTTCAGTTCTTTCTGTTGTTAGTTTTGATGTTTTCACAGAGCTTAACAGTAAGAGGAACTACTACAACTGATTTATTAAAAAAAAGACTTTAAAAATTGTATAATTTCTAACACAACATATATTTTAATGCTTTGAATAAGTAATTTTACAATTAATATTAGTTTTGTTAAAGAGACAATTAAACATTCTCATGTTGCTCTGAGAACCAAAACTTTATGGCAGCTGGCATATGAAGAGGAAGGAAAAAAACAACTTAGTAATATAATTCATTGTGCAAAGTAAACCCAAAGAAAAGGGAAACAAAGGTTATTTCTTTAACAATCTAAAATGCCATTAGAAAGACACGAGAAGAGATTTCTTAAGATAGGCTTTTATTATTTAGGTGCAACCATAAATCCCTCACAAAACTGAAAGCTAATTGACAAGGCAGGAGTGGGGGTCATGATTATCAAAAATCACCTTATTACGATCTTAAGTAGATGCATTACAGATGATGACTTTTTTAAACAAATCAAGACAAAATAAACTAACACGGGAGGAGAAGAACCTTCAGCTTTTTTTGCACCATTACACATAGTATCTGTCCATTTTTAGAAAACTAGACCAACTACAAGTTAAAGGTACAGAGCACTCTGTGAATGGAAAAGAAAACACAATTAAAGACTAACCACCCAATTCTGGTGGTTTCAATTAAGCAAAATTCCCTATTATACATTCACTAAATTTAATGGGAATCTTAAGAATTTCAGGAATACACACAAACGGTAAAATCCCCATTAAGACAGAGACAAAACTACCATTTGACTTCAAGAGAACTAAGATCCACTATAAAAAGTCACATCATTATTGGGTATAATCTCTCATAAATATACTGGAATAAATAATTCGCACTATATGAAAAAAAAACAGTGTAAACATCTCCATAAATAATTAAATCCATACACGGTTCATATGTTTTTAAGCAAAAAAGCAGTCATAATTTAAAAACAAAGGCTAATTATTAGCAAGTAACAAGCTTTAACCAACCAGTAACAGTATTATTTTATTTACATATCAGACGAAGGCAATTGTTTCTCCAACTATTAAATATTTTCACATTTTCAGAACACAGTAAAACTAAATGAATCTATCATTTTAAGCAACCTTTTAACTCTTCTGTTTTGACATCAGCTGTGGATGCACTCCTTGCTTCTATCACAACAGGATAATATGGAGAGAGATTTCCAAAAGCACAGCACTCCCTGCAGCAGAGGCAAGTTACAGATAGTAGAGACAAGCTACACGTGAAAGCCAGCCACCTTCAAATGATACAAACAGTTTCCCTCAAAACATTTATCCAGATGAAAATGCAAGTACTGCTACAAACCTTAAGGAAGAATCCAAACTGGTTTTTTACATGTATTTTAAACAAATCAAATGTTAATTTACTAAGAAGGTAATTACAAGGGGCTTGTCCGTATAGTCTGTATCTCAGCCTCCTGTTCTAAGTATTAAATATATGTGGATTCTCCATTGTTTTAAAATTACTAGGAACCACACTTGGTTTTTGAAGAAGTAAAGCTTCTCACTTTTCTAATGTAGTTAAAAACAAAATTTGAAAACAGTGCAAACAACTAAACAAACAACACTGATTATATAAGCTCTCTCCTGTACAAACCACTTTTACAGAATTAGATTTTCTCAAATTTGCCTGTATTACTAATGTTAAAATAACCCTGTTTACATGCAAAATACTGTTTTCTTTAAACTGCATGTGTTTCTCTATAAAACGTGAAATTCTTAGTAGTCTCCCAAATCAAAATGTTTGAAATTCAAATACATTAGTACAATACTGGTTGACCTTTCTAAATGGTAGCAGAAGTCCTTCTGTAAACAAACTTGGTGTGAAATCCCAACGAAAACCGAAAGGGAAACTAGGAAATTTGCAAAAATGTATGCTTTGATTCAACTTAAACCGATCAAGTCCTTTGTGATGTACTTCTCCTTCCCCATGGTACCACTTTCCCAGCTTGACTGCCAAAAGTGCAATTAACCTGATGCCTCAATTTTGGTACCCAACCCTGTACACCATTGGCTGAGGATGCTGGTGGTGTGAGGTTCTTCCTTACCACCTTTGGCCTCACTCTGGTTACATCCATTTACCCCTGTACCCCTGAGTGCACCCCACAGGCTGGCACCCCTCTCAGGGAAGCGAGGTGCTGGAGAATCTCCGCCCACCTCCTACAGAGCTGGTCAATCCCAACGAGCCTCCCCGCACCACTTCTCCACGTGACCTGCATTTAGAAGCTTACGGGAAAGAGGAAAAACAAACACGCATGCAGATTAAATATTAAAATAAGGCAAGCCTATAACCATCCTTGGACAAACACACGCAGCAGCACTGAGCCCTCTCCGCTGTACGCCGAGTACCACATTAACACGGCTGCGTTATCCTTTTGTTTACGGGATGGGAAGGACAGCGGTCGTTCCCCCCTCCTTATCTGACCGACGGCCTCTCCCATTCCCGTGTGCCGCCGGGATGCCGGCCGCGCTCCCGCGCCGGGTTTTCCCGGTAACCGGTGCCCGCCCTCCCCCGCCCTCCTCCTCCCGCCTTAGGGTTAGCAGTTTGGGGAACGCTGTGGAAATAGCTCTTTCCCAACACCGGGCTTGGTTTGCAGTTGGGGCTGTAGGTGGCTCAAGAAAAGCTCCTCGTTTTTGTAAAAAATCCGTCTGCAAAGCAAAGGGGCGTGATCGTCTGCTGGCGCCCGGCAACGCCATCCCAAGGCCGGGCAAGGAGAGCGGGGGCTGCAGCATCCACACCGGGCTCAGGCAAGCCACAGGGATCCTGAAAACGACCCCAGCAAAACTAAAAGCAAGAAACAAATAAGGCTCTGCCCTCAACCCTTCCAGTCATTCAGAATAAGCCTTCATCCTTTCAAACTCTGACATTGCATTCAACAATCCTCTCGTCTTAATTAGGTTCAAAGCTTGCTCTGCAAACGGTGGATCTCATCTTTTCCATCTTCCTGTACTTCCTATCAAAAGAGAAAATATTTTCTTCTTCAAAATCAACTAGCTACTAAGAAAACACAAGGAAAAAAAAACTGCAAGTGGCTTTTACAAGCTGTTGCTGTTCACTTGTTATTGATGCCTCTATAGCACCGTGAATACAGAAGCAATACCTATCCCCCCCTCCAAGCAACTACTTTTTCATATGTCATTTCACCCAGCTAGACCCATAAACATGTATTACAGCTATATATGCACAGAGCTTTAAGCTACCACATCTTGCATAAATTCAAGAGCCAAGGGAATCCTAATGGTGTCTTATCATTAACTTTTTCTCCTTGACAGATTGGCTATTTTGTGCCCTCCTCAACCAGCCCCCGGTTGTGTACAAACCCTCACTCACTGAGGGGAAGGGGGTTGCTATTTTGGGGAGAAGGGAGGGTACCTGTTTCTTTGATTTATTTTTTCTTTCAACAGCATAACCAGCACCCCAATAAAGGAAAAGCTACATACTTAAAACCTAAATTCTCTCTCACACAAAGTTTCAGATTTCTTCAATTTGCTTTTATCTTTGAACACCAAACATTTGCAATCCATATAGAAGCAAGCCAACCAACTGGTCATCCATGCTGGGACTGAGCCGTCAGCTGGAACATAATTACACACCACCCTTAAGTGCAATGTGTGATACAACGTGTAACAGTTTAAGCATATAGTGACTTTTGGAAAGAATTATTACATTTTTTAAATTCACATTCCATGCTTACTATGATTTACTGTTAAACTTTTGCAAGAGAGAAGGTATTTCAAAACCATGATATTAAATTTATCTTTCTCATTTTGATATTACAGACATTCTCAGCTAGAGAGCCAAGGACTGTTTTTGTAATCTGATGTCCTCAGTCAGACAATCCTGTTTTTAAGTCAATCATTTTACATTTTTAAGTAGTATTCAGAAGCTGCATTAACATGAACTATTTTGGTCACATTTTCCAAACACTTTCCAAAATTTTATGTAAGAAAACTGAAGGACAGCCCAAATATAGTAACTGTGTAAACATCAGCTTCTATTGGGATACCCAGAAGTATACACTCATAATAATGGCACAGTAGAACTGAAACATGAAGAAATATCACAAAATTAAACCTTTTTTCTCATACAAAGAGCCACCAAATTCCTCCAAAACTGCTTATTACAGGATGTGTAAAAGGGGGATAAGAGTGATTTTTAAGGAAGCAAGGAGGGATAGTGCTCTACACGACAAACACATAACACTGTGATGGCAAACAGCAGGCACAAATACACGTAGCAAGCACTGTCAGACGTAGCTACTCACCTTTCACAGCACTTGCTTCTTTCAGGTTGTGAGACAGAAAGTCTATGCTGGCATAGGCGCTCATCTCTACTCCACTGATGCCCCCATTCAGGAGATGCCTGGCTTTCAACCTGGATTTGTCACAGTTTGCCAGGGACCCATCCACTACGTCAATGGCAATGTAGTTGAGGCCATTCTGGAAGCCAGCTGAGGTCTCGCGGCACATGGGACTGCTACCCTGCTCCTCCTCCAGGCCTTCGCTTTTCCTGAGGGACACATTCTCCACCGAGGCCGAGTTGTGTCGTTTGGGGTTGTGTGCGAAGGAAGGGGACACTGGGGTCACAGTGGTGGTGGAGGAAAAAGTTTCTGAGCTGTGCCTCCTCCGCCCCTGAGGATCTGCCCGGATGACTTTGGCCCCCCGGTTTGGGTCTGGGGGAGGGCTTGAGAGAATGAAAGCCTCCACCCCAGAGAGGGTGAGCCTCTTCACCCCAGCTGTGGGGCTGGTGACCCGGGCACTTTCTGGCTTCTGAACAATGGGTTGGGGTGGGGTGGTGGCCATGCCAAAGGTCATTTCAGTGTAATCCCCACCATCTGACGGGCTGGATGAACAAGCCACCCCCACAGCCGCCTTCAGGTAGCGTCCATTGGGCTGGCTGGTGCTGGAAGAAGAGCTCGGTGAGAGAGCTTCCAGGGAGCCCACTGAGACCGTGCCTGACTGGGAGGGTGACTGTGACCCAAAGTCCATGTTCATGTAGTCAGAAAGCGGGGAGCGCCTCTGCCCTGTTCCTGAGCCCAGGGAGGAGGCCGGGCTGTCAGCAGGCAGCGAGGGGGGAGAATAGACAGCAGCATCCCCAAAGTCAATGTTGATGTATTCGCCAGGGCTCTTGGGCTCAAGCGGCAGAGGGTGCTCATTCATGCTGGGCAGCACCGTCCGCAAGGTCTCCAAAGAGAGGCGGCTGGGCCGGGCTGCCGGCTGGCACCGCTGGCTCAGGAAGCTCTCAGTCCGGCTGTGCCGCAGGGGTGAAGGCACCATGTGGCTGGAGGGGGAGAAGGTGCCGGCAGGCGACTGGCCCACTCCACACACCGCCTCCTCCGGGATCATCCTCCCCGGGGAGTTCATGAAGACATACTGGTCGCTGTCCTTCGCCAATCCCTGGCTCTTATAGGAGCGGGGTAAGGAACTGTATGAATAGCAGCTGGGCTTTGAGGGCTCACTGGACCCATGCCCTGACGGGGCGAAAAAGAAGTCTGGGGGGGGTAAGGGAGGGAACCTGGGGCCCATGCTGGGGGTCCCGAGGGGACATATTGATATAGTCACCGTTACTCAGTCTTCCATCTGAGCTCTCCACAGATAGCTTGGAGCCACACCACATCCGCATGTACCCACTATCATCCGGGGAGCTTTCCCCAGGTGAGCTGGTCTTGTAGCTGCTCCCGTTCCCGGGGGACCCACTCCCTACCCCTGCCCGGGGCTGCAGGATCTGCTTGGGGGCGGACACACTGGTGGGGCTCATGGGCATGTAATCATCGCCGCCCCGGCTTCCCTGCCCTAAGGCTGCGGCCACACCAGGGGTCATGGGCATGTAGCCGTCATCATCTCCCCCACCACCACCCGCTGCCGGTGGCCCCAGATTGGTGCTGCTGCTGCCGGAGCTGCGGTGGGAGCCGATCTCGATGTCCCCATAGTCCTCGGGGTACGGGGTGTAGGTCACTTTGGGGGAAGCCCCGGCTTGGCAGGAGGGGAAGAGGCGGCCGGCGCTGCCGGCGAAGGTGGCGCGCATCAGCGTGTACTCGTCGAGGGAGGCGGAGGAGACCTGAGGCGGGGCGGGTCGCTGCCGGCACGGCGTGGTCAGGGAATAGGTCCGCTTTCGATGGCACCTGTCGCCGGCGGCGTCGGGGCAGGGCCGGTAGCAGAGGCGGCCGCTCGGGGGCCGCTCCATCGCCATGTAGCCGTAGAGATCGGTGCCGCCCCCCCGGGTCCCGCACCGGGGGGGTATCGGCCATCGACTCAGGGGTGTTGCTGCGGTTGCTGGCGGTGGAGGAGGAGGAGAAGGGCCGCAGGTCGCCGCCCGGGCTGGAGCCGTACTCATCGAAGGACATGAAGCCGGCGTCGCTGGGGGAACCGGAGACGGAGGCGCTGCCGCTGGACGGGCGCTGCGGGTGATGCGGGTGGGCAGTCTCGGAGCCGAGGCCGCTGCTGGAGGAGAGGCTGATGGGGCTGGTGGCGGAAGGGGGCGACTGGGAGGCGGGCATGGACATGGAGCGGCTGCTCTGTAGCCCGCCGCCGGCGAGCACCGGCAGCAGCTTCCCCGCCTGCCGGCCTCCGCCGCTGCTGAGCGTGTGCGAGCGGCTCAGGGGGGTCCGCACGGGGCCCGGGCTCATGGGGCTGCCGGCCGCCGAGCCCACTCGGCAGCCGTCACCCTCGCTGGCCGTCCTCACCCGGCAGGGCGTGCACTTGGTGCCGGCGCCGGCGGCGAGGCTGTCGGTGCGAGAGCGGCGGAGGAGGCCGGTCTGGCTGGGAGGCAGGTTGACCAGGTGGTGGTGCCGGCGACCGGGCACGGTGATGGGGTGGGTGGCGGAGGTGCCGCTGCCGCCGGGCCCGCCGGCCCCCCCGGAGGAAGAGGAGGAGGAGGACTGGCTCTTGCTTCGAGGCCGGAACTCGGACAGCTCCTTCAGCGCCTTCATGGCCTCGAGGATGGTCTCGTGGATGTTCTGGGCCACCACCGAGTCGTCCGCCTGCATCCAGAGCTCGCCGGGGCCGGTGGCGGCCGAGCGCCCCACCTCGATGAAGAAGAAGCTGTCGGAGTGGCCGCAGCGGCGGATGTTCATCAGCTGCAGCGTGACCGAGGGCAGCTCGCAGTTGAGACGCACGAACCCAATGGTGCGGGCCGAGAGGCAGAGCCGGTGGACACCGGTGAGGTTTTTACTCTGCCCCAAGCCCTTGGGCTTCAGCGTCACCTGCCAGACCTCCCGGTAGGCAGCAGTGGCAGGCGCGATCAGCCCGTAGTTGAGGTCTTCACCGGCGGCGGCCAGGGAGGCGGCGGCCGCGCCGCAGGAGGCGGAGAAGGGGGAGGCGAGGTGGCGGTGGGGAGACCCCTGGCAGGCCGCCTTGCCCTCGTTGAGCAGATCGGTGAGAGCCCGGTACCAGCCCTCCTGCTCCTGCTCGTTCTCGGCAGCCACGGCGAAGTACTCGTCCTTGGTGTAGAGGGCGATGAGGTACTTGTGCTTGGCGTCCGCCCGCTTGTTGATGTTGAGGCAGGAGTCCAGGGCGATCACCCGCTTGGGCGCCCCGGACTTGTTCCTCCATTTCTTCTCGCTCTCGTAGTACTCCAGCCGGGCGCCCCCCGCCTCCTCCCCGCCGCCGCCCGGGCCGCGCAGCACGAAGAAGCGCTTGTGGCCGTGCTTCTGCTTGCGCAGGTACCCGCACTTCCTCACGCCCTGGTTGTTGTTGTTGTTGTTGTTCAGGTTGGGGCCGGGCAGGGAGCTGAGGGGGGGGCAGCAGCCCTAGCACGGCGGGGCTCGCCATCCCCAGCCCTGCGGCGGGAGCACCGCCCGGCTCCTCTCGCTGCTGCCGCCGACGCCGAGCGGAACCGAGAACCGAGTGCCGCGGCGAAAAAAAAGAAGAAAAAGAAAAAATAAAGTAAGAATTGAGAGAAGCAGGTAAAATAAAGTTATTCCTCCGTAGAAGAACGCGGCTGCCCGAAGCCGCAGCGGAGTCCTCGCTGTCGCCTCTAGGCAGCGGGTGCTGCCGGCGGCCGCCTGGCGTCCTCCCCGGCTCGGGTACCGGCGGCGCCGCTGCCGCTCCCGGTCCGCCGCTGCTGCCGCTGGTGCTGCCGGCGCCGGCGGGAGTTTCGCCGTAAGTAACACATCGCGCTCCGAGTGCCCCAACTAAAGAGCAAAACAACACGTGACCGCCGCCTCACCGACCGCTCACACACCGAGACGGGGCGGGGCAACGGCGCCGCCGGCACCGCCCCGCATTGGCCGCCGTGCCGCAAGAGGGACGGCTCCGCCCGCCAATGGGACTGCAGGGCGGGCTCTCGGGTGCGGGACGGTGCAACGCCATTGGTCGGTGGCAGCCTCGCCCCCCCCATTCCCTGCCCGCCCCCCCGCGCTCCCGCCCACACCCCGGCCCTCCTCCGGCCAGCGGGTCCCGTCTCCCGCGCCTCTGCCGCCGGTACCCTCCGCGCACAGAGCGGGGAGCGTGCCGGGGGCGCGGGCACTGCGGGGAGACCCGGTACACCCGGCAAAGCCCGGGTGATGCCCATCGCCGCCCATCGGTACGCGGCGGGGCGCCGGCATGGGTCACCGCAGCCGTCAGGTGCTGCGGACCCGCCCGCCGGAGCTTCCGGGCGCGCGTGTGCGCGGCGGGCGCCCCCTGCACACCCACCCAGCCCCACCCCCGCATACACGCGTGTGTGCGTCACCCGCCCCGCACACGCACGGCCGCTCCGTGCGCGCGTTCCCCCGCGCGCTGTGTCACCCGCGCCCACGCGCTCCCCGCTCCCCGCGGGGCTCCGCCGCTCCCGCCCTGTGCGGCGGGGAAATGCCACCCAGGGAGGGCGCGGGAAGTGTGTGCCGCTGTTCAGTCGTTTTCAATTAAACACATTAATTTATCCGGGCGTTTCGCCGCAGCGGTGAATAAGGGCAACGTCCCCGTTTCCTCTGGAAACGAATCCGGCCCCACTGGGGGAGCGCGGCGGGGCGATCACGAAGCGAGCGGCGGCGGGGGTTAAGCGGCCCCCGGTCTCCCCGCCTCCCTGCTCCCCCTCCCTCCCCGCTTCCCCCTCCTCCTTGCTCCCCCTGCCTCCCCCCGCTGCCGCCGCTCCCGCGCCTTCACCAGCCGTGCGGGGACTCCGCGGGGGGGCGGAGGTGTCTCACTTGTTTACCGGGGACCTGCACGCTCGTCACCAGGCGGGTCGCGCCTCGGGATCAATGGGAGCCTTTCTCTCCCCGCTGTCGGGGGGAGGTGAACGGCGGAGGGGCCCCGGCCGGGGTGGGCGGCAGCAGGGGCAGGGGTCTCCCTAGCCCGCATTTTCCTGTGTGCGGCGGGAGCGGGGGAAGGAAGGGGGAGCGCAGGGGCCCAGGAGGGGGCTGCGGGCGGGGATGCCGGCCTGTCGCCCCACGGTGAGGGCGGTCGCGGCGCCTCATGAAGCGCGCAGCGTGATGCGAGGAGGGCAGCGATAGCAAAAGTCGGGGGATGGAGAGAAGAGGCTGTACTGCAGCCGTCCACCCTGTTCCTAACGCAGCCGCATCCCCGCCCGCCTCGGGAACGGCGAGGGAAGCCTGCCTTTGCACATGCCCAGGAGGAAAACCGAGGCTGGGGTCACGCGAACATCCATCCGTGCCTTCCCGTCTACCCCCTCAGTGCCGTAAGGACAGGCTTTTATTTGTCGTCCTGCGACGAACCTGAAGCAACCGGGTTTGCGTGGAAAAAACAAACAACACAACAACACAAACAAGCAAACAAGATTAAAAAATACGAAAGCAATGCTGCGCCTGCCGCTGCCGTTGTGCGGGGCCGCGGCCGAGCGCTCTCCGTATTCCCGGCGGAGCAGGCGGCGGGGCCGCCCGCAGCCCGCACCGCTGCCGCCGCTCTGCTCCCTCCTGCCCGAAATTCTCCGCGGTTTGGGTCATAATAACCCAATTAGAAATCAACAGCTGTAACTGGGGGGGGGAGGGAGAGGAAGTGTGATTGGAAAAGACCACCTCACTGTAAATACCGGTACGTCGCAATAAAGCAGCTTTTGAAGATAGCTTTTGAAGATAGACCTCTCCCTTCGTCTTACGGGAAAACATTTACATACAAGATAGTAGTTACCTGGGTTTATTAATTTTTTTTTTTTTAAAGACGATAGGGGCGGAGTTAGAGAAGTAATTTGAGATCTGAGGCACTGACCTCTCTGCAGGAGCAAGAAAAGAGTGTAACCTTGGGCAAGGTACCTGTGACCTCTGTGTACCTGTATGAGTCTTCACAGAAAATGATGCTGACAATCTTTACTGTCCTGGTAATGTTCTTTGATTTCTGTATCTGGACAAATGCATAGAAATAGCAATTGTAAATTTAGATGATATGTAATGATTGCATAACAGATCTCAATGAGGACAGTTTCATATGAAAACTCAGGAATAGTTGATTTTCTGGCTGTGGCTGTAGCGGTTCAGACTATCCCCTGTACTCACACTACTGAAGATATACGGAAATTAGGTATCTGAACAATTTCTTGCCACTCTGAGCAATCTGGGTCCATAAACACAAACTTTTGTCTGTAAACACCTTGGGAATTTGGAAAGATTTTTCCAGATGTTTATGAAATATGATTGGTGACCTTGAGTACACATCCTTAGGTCTGAAATGTAAAAAAAAAAAGACTAGTATTAATTCACCTACGTGATATTTTTATATATTTATTCTTGACCATGTGGGCAATACACATTTGATATACTGGCTATAGCAGCAGAACCAGGTTTGCAAATAATTTCTGTGACAAAGGCATTAGGATAGACTAGAATCCAAGGTTGCAGTTTATACTTTTTATTTCTGTATTGGCATTGATATAAGGAGCATCTTTAGTAGCTCATTTTTAGCAGTGGCCAATTCATAACAAGTATTATTTCTTCTATAATTATGTTTGGAGTTTGGTTTTTAATGCATAACTGGGGTACAGAGCACAAGAAGTGTGACTCAACTGTATGTAAAATTCAGGTTAAAAAGTCCTATTGTTTCATGACCAGCACTCTGGAATGAATGACCCCAGTTTACGTAGGTGATCTGTCTTACTCTAAGTTTTCTCAGAATTCCTCTGAAATGCTCTTCAACACTATATCCCTTCTGAAAAATTTTCCCATTCATTTCAATGTAATTACAGGGGCATTTAATTACAATAAATGCACTAACACCACTCGTCCATCCCTGCTCTCAGCTACAGGTACAGCTGCCATGATTCAGCTGTTCCTATCTGTCTTGTAGCATGTTAGCTTTATTTTTCTGAAATAAGTGGTTTTTCAGAGATACAGAGGGCCGTGAATTGGGATGGTTGAGCATAACACACACATCCTTGTTCCACCAAGGAACTTCAGGCAGAACACAGCAGTGGACAGATAGAGGCAGCAGCATCTTCAGTAACTGCAACAGTTCTGCCAGAGGATGTTTGCTTAAATTGCTCTGTAGAATAATTCCATCATGATGAAAGAAAAAATGTTCTTGTTTTACCATCCCATTCCTTTTCTTTTGTCATACCACCCTTCCCCATCTCTATTTCACCACATTTACCAGTTTGAGGTCTTGCCTGGGAATACTTTGCTAATACGCAAAGTAGACCAACCAAATAGTGGTAATAATAGCATCTTTCCTGCCTCCTAAACTATGCCTTTGCCAACATACTATGCTTCAGCCATCTACTTTTTCCTCCAAGAAAAATAAACAATGCTGGGCAATGGTCAGACTTATCAAAATATACTATCTATGTGAGGGGCATCATGTATGTCAGTCATAAAATGTTACTTCTGTCCACCCTAAACTGGCAGAGACATGCATGGAAAATTATTGACCTTGCTTTTGACAATGAAGTTTAGATATAGCAAGTACAGTTTTGCCAGCACAGAGCCCTACTGATTGCACATTTCTCGAAGCACTCGGGGTTCCTTAGCTATATTAAAAAAAAAAAGTGTGATAATGACGTTTATGCATTTATGTATAAATATACTTAAACTTCCTGTTTTCCTTACTGAACTGTGTGGATGGATGCTAAACAGTGGCCTGCAACACTGTTTTTCAAGCCATGAACTTCTCAAGCCATTAGTGAATTTTGGTTGGGAAGACTGTTTGAATAATAGTTAAATGATTGAGTTTACTACTTCTAGGGGCATGCAACTGGATTTAGTTACATGTGGAAGCTTGATTCTACAAGCCTAACACACGCAGTATCCAGTCGGGGGTTTTTTTGTTGTTTGTTCCACACACAGCCCTCTACACTGGGGGGGATTGAAGCATGAGGCCCTATGAATATGTAACTATAATTAAATACTGCCCAGAGACACAGCCAGTTACTCAAAAAACACTTTCTGAGAGACTGGATGCATGAGTAGGTTGAATTTCAAAATTTGTGCCATCCTTTAAAAATATGTTTTTGTTTGTTCTTAGCCTAAATCTCATTTTTAAATATCTTTCAATTTCAGGATAAGAAGTAACAGTTGAAAGGGATGTGTTTGATGTTTGGCTTGGCTGTTGCCTTCTACCTGTTGCCAGGATCACAGAGCTGATGGTAGTGAAGCCATGGGAAAAAAGTGCAGAGAAAGATTACGTGCGTCAGCAACACTTTCTTATACTATCAAGAATACAGTTATCTGTTCCAACAAAACAGAGTGATTTATATTTTGATGTCCTTGAACTTCTGCATAAACAGGTGAAGTCAGTTTATTCCCTGGTACATTTATTTGCATACTTCTGATACAGTGTCATTCTGGTTATATATTTCATAACCTTACTGTAAGAGGACATGAACTCCCATCAACTTCTTTCTCACTACCCTTTCTCAACTCCTTTGAGTGGTAATGTACCATGACTGCCCAGTAGAGAAGTCTGTGTTATTTGGAAGGAAGGACAGACCATCTTTCCAGATAGTTTTACAAAATACTTTGTTGATACTACTTATTTAGTAACTCCTAACAGCTGGCTTTATTCCTCTGTAGCAAGAGTAACACTAAGTTGCCCTTACCCTTAAATTGGGGCTGCCAACTTTTATTTTTCCTCCCCCAGGTCCTGAGTAAACAATTATGGGTGGCTTTGTACATGAGGAAAAGATATTCAGAAAGCATAAATTCTAAAAATACTTCTTTCTTACGTAAAGGTTACTTGCTTCAGTGAGTATCACACCCAAAGATTTCCAGAGAATTACAGGTTAAATAAATAGG